CATAATATTTTCTATATTTTCTCTCACAGATAGCCAGATAAGGCTGAATTTAGTCTCAAAAGACCTAGGATTGAGGTCCAGTTCTGTCATTCACTGTGTGTAAACCTTAGATGATCATTTTTCTTTGTCTCTTTTGCCTTCTCATGAATAAAATGAGGGCCATCATGGCATGATCTGGCTTTAGCACAAAGTGAGACTGTGATGCTGACCCAGTAGGACATGCTTATTAAATATTTATTAAGCACATGCTGGGTGCCCTACTCTATGGCGGGAGACCTATGGGAATCACAAAGCTGTTGGCCTTATGGAGAATAGCTTGGAGTCTAACTAGAAGAGAAAAACCCCACATACGATGAACAGCTAAGGACCAATTCCTACTTGAGAGCTGTGATAAGTCCGGCACAAGAGACTCATGCAAGAAATAAATGGGAACATTTAAGAGATGACAATCACGGAGAAATGAAAGGGAGTTGAAATTCAATTTCTGCCTCTTAGCTCTTTCTCTTCAGTGTCTTGCACTGAATAATAACCTGAAACAAAACTGTTTTAAGTTGATGGAACCGGGCCTTTTCCTAATGACACATTCCAGCCTTTTGTCTTTGTTCTTCACCTCCCTTACTTTGCCTGGTTTTCTGCAGACTTTGCAAGCCCCGGGGTTGTCCCCACCCTTGTTTAGACCTTGTGTGCCTCATACAGCTCTCGACAGAGCCCATACTGTGTAAAGGATGCACAAAGGGGACTCAGTCTGCAAATAGTGGTGTAGGAAGTGTGGCAGCAGGAATGTTTGAGCTTGCCATCGCACAGATGCACAGATGGCCACTGGGAGGGCAAGTCCTCTGTGTGAGTCACAACCCTCGGCATGGGTGAGCAGCTGATGAGACTGGTGGGCATTTTTGTCTGACCCCATTCTAAGCTACTTTCTGAGTCCTTCAATTACCCATTTGTAACATTTTCTTCCAGCAGCTGGGAAAAAAAAACAACAACGGCAGCGGCAGCCCATGTATTAAACCTCAAAAGTAAAGCTGTCTGGATTATGAAGATAGAAGAGGAAGTTTGAGAGACTCACAATGAAAGGGTTTAACAAGAGCTGCCTGTGAAAGTGTTGATTCGCAAACTCTTGGAGCATTGGAAATGATTTCCTTAACAACGGAAGGAAAACTGACCAGAGGCATGAGTGTTTCATTCATTTTTCAGATGAGAACAGCAGCATTGCCAAGAGAGGCAGAATGTCTGTCTGCTCCAGCCAGAGTTTCAGCCCTCAGCACTGCCATGGACTGCCTGTGTGTTCTTCCACAAATCATTTCATCTCCCTGGGTCTCAGTTTATCCATCCATAAAATGACAGGCGGATCTAAGTAAATTGTGAGTTTCTTTTTGACTGGAACATCCTGATTCTATGCAAGCCATCTTGAGGGTTGCTAAATTATGCATTGCTTAGAGAGATCTAACTGTGCAAGAGATGAATAAAGCATATTCATTGACTTTCTGACTAAGTGGGACTCAGGCACCTCCATGCTGCTGTGCTGTGCTGTGCAGGGAAAGGATGACGAGTCTCTGCCTGAGGGAAGAGAGAGCTATTTTGAGGCAGGGCTGATTAGAGATAAGGTGTCTCCTTTCTTCGCAGTGCTCTGGCCCTGACTCACCCGAAGTTCTTGGGATTAAAGCTTAACCCTTGGTGGATGGATGTAAGTTAACTCCACTGCTTGCCTATGAAAATGGCGCCCAGCACACTGCTTCCTGAGCCCCAGCTTATCATTGTCCCTTAGGAACATTCTTTGACCTCTCCTTGCTTAAAGAGTTTCCCTGAACTGCAGCCCTTGCTCGTAACCTCTCCCCTTGACATCTCTTGTTTGCTCTTTCCTGTTATTCACGGAGTCTTCTGGGTTATATATAAAAGAGAACGTCTCAGTAATCCTCTTAACAGCAAAGAAATCCGGTCACCCCTGTTAGGTAGGGGGATGGAAGTGTCACAAGGTTCTTGAAAGAAGCACCGGACAAAGCTGCGAGAATACTTTGCATGGAAAAGCCCAGAACAGGACCGACACAAAAGACCATTACAGTTATGTTGATTTGAGTGCCAACAAAAGTAAACTCTAAGGTACAGTTATGCTAACATTTTAATTTAAAAACCTAAAAAAAAATCAACATGTTTTTAAAAGGATGTAATTTTACAAAATGTTCGACTTTCTTTCTTTTTCTTTTTTGCGTTTATTTCTACTCTCGGTGTGTTATCTTTGATTGATTTGTTTATTTTTTGGCTTGGGAATGCTGAAAGCGCCCTTGTGACACTTGACATGACGGGGACTGTGGGGCCATGGCTTGAACTGTGCTGATTTTATTCTGTCACTTTGTTCCTAACAAGCTGGATGCAGATGGAATTGTTAAAACCTGACTCATATTTCAAAGACACTGGAGAGAGTTCACTTTAAAAAACATACGCACCAAAGCCCTTTCTAACGAGAATAATCACCCCTCTGGTTGTTTTTGAAAATTAATGTCTTTGAATTGTAAGGTTCTTGAAGTAAGGGACATAACCCAGTGTGGAAAACACTGTTCTCGAGACAGCTATGGAGTCGAAATGACCCGAGACCATGGGAAAATTCTATTCACTTCTTTGAAGTCCACTGTCTCTACCTGAGAAGATAGGATTGCCCATATGTGTTGAATTTCCAGCTATAAACCTAGATGCTATAATGAAAAGGGGCCAGATTGGGTTCCAGGAGCCTGAGCTCAGGCTCTGTCCGCTGCCAGCTCTGTGACCTCAATAAAGTCAGGAGCTCAGTGTTCTCATCTATAGCACAAGAATTGTGTTCAAAATGACCTCTGAGTCCCTCTCAATTAGGATATTTTAGGATTTGAGCAATTTATTGTTTGGAAGCCACTACAAAAGAGAAAAGAACTTGGTAGTATCAGTTTCGATTCAAGTTGGGGCACCTGTGCCATCTTGGTGCCATATTAGGTCTTCTGTAGGACAGGATACAGCATTCGAGCATTCATTCCCTCAACAAACACTTCTGAGCAGCTACCGTGTGACTGTGCTGAGGGGCCAGGATACAGATATGAATAAAACCCAGTGCCTACAGGGAGCTTTCCCTCACACAGAGAAGATAGCACGTGAAAACTCATTTTTGAAAAGTTAGTTATTTATACATTTAGTCCAGTAGACTCTCCGATTCTTAATTACCAAGTCACATACCAAAGCGACAGCTTTCACCGCGTCGCTCGGCTTTTACCGCATGTCTCAGAGGCACCAGGTTGAGGTGAAACCAGGACACCTGATTGATTGTTTTAAAATCTGTATCATGAAATTTTAAATATGAAGAGAGAGAGAATACAAAGAACCCTTATGTAATTATTACTCAGCTTCAGTAATTATGAATTTGTGACCAACCTTGTTTAATCGCTAGCTTCTCTTAACTCCAGATTATGTTGAAGCAAATCCAACACAGCCTATCTTTCATCTGTACGTGTTTAAGAAGATATTACGAAAAACAATGTGTGTTTTTTTTTTTTTTTTTTTTTTAAGGAACATACCAGAATGCTTACAGTGGTCTGTTTCTTGATCTGCAGGCTGGAAATACAGATAGATGTTTCCCTTTTTTAAAAATTCATCAATTGTGAACATATGATTTTTTCAGAGTGTAGATTATACTGCAATAAAAAGATAAAACAGGGGTGCCTGGGTGGCTCAGTCGGTGGAGTGACTGACTCCGGCTCAGGTCATGATCTCACAGTTTGTGAGTTCAAGCCCCGTGTCGGGCTCTGGGCTGACAGCCCAGAGCCTGGAGCCTGCTTCACATTCTGTGTCTCCCTCTCTCTCTGCCCCTCCCCCACCCATGCTCTGTCTCTCTCTGTCTCAGAAATAAATAAACCTAAAAAAAACTTATTAAAGAAAAAAGATAAAACAAAACATAACCACAATACTACTACCACTCCAAAAAATGTGACAGTAATTCTTTAGTACTAGTCTTTAACCAGTGCTGAACAATCGTATTTTATTTTTTTTAAGTTTTTTAACGTTTATTTAATTTTGAAGGAGAGAGGGATAGAGAACCAGTGAGGGAAGAGCAGAGAGAGAGAGAGAGAGGGAGACACAGAGTCCAAAGCAGGCTCCAGGCTCTGAGCTGTTAGCACGGAGCCCGACATGGGGCTCGAACTCACAATCTGTGAGATCATGACCTGAGCTGAAGTCGGACACTTAACCAACAAAGCACCCAGGCACCCCTGAACAATTTGAAACAGTATGGAAATTCAGCAATAAAATAGGCAGAGGGCATGATGAGAGGGAGGGCCACCTAACTTGGCCTGGAGTGGGAGCAGGGGACAAAGTTGGATGCCTAGAAAGTGCTACGGTCACTTCTCTCAGTTCCTTGTCTTGTAGCGGCTACATGAATGTCCATACATGCACACATATGCATTCCCAGGCATGTGTATGAAGGGAGTGAGCAAGGCCTCAGGGAACACAGCCTCTGGCGAAGCTCTCAGTAGACACTCAGAACAGAGGAGAAAGTTCTCAGGGTTAGCTAGGGACCCCAAATGACAGGGTAGAGATGATGAAGGATTTTCCCTGTTTGCCCACAGAAGGGCTCACCCAGAGTGCTTAGCACTCTCAGAGCTACTCTGAGATGGGACCCCCCTCAGAGCCAGGCACAGGCCATGTGGGTGGCTCGAGGTGTACCTTGGCACAAGGCCTGGGTACACATGTGGCCATTTTGTGTAATAAAGAAGAGGCGAGAAACTCTCTCTCACTGAGTTCTTTTCCTTCAGACGTGCCCATAAGCACTAGAACTTTTGTCTGGAATCTTTGGAAAGGCACCCTTCTTATTCCCCGCCCTCACAATCTCTGTGTGTGTGTTTGAAACCGTCAAGTGTTTTGCACCTCCCCTGTCACCGCCAATACCACACTGTCCTTGGGTTTTTCGCCTGCTAGTCGCACCCACGCTGTGGAGGCAGCTCCTCAGGTGTCCTTTCTTCCCGGCTCTCCGGCAATTCCTCCAGGTCCAGCATCCCTGCTCGGAGCTGCCTGCGGCCCCACTCTGCAGCTGACCCTCTGGTATCAGCAACCTCAAGAAGGCTACTTCCAGGGCCCAACCGTGCCCACCTCCAGGGTGGCTGGGAAAGCAAAAGGGGATGATGCGGGCAGTGCACCTGCCACGTCAGTGACCCTCAACGAGGTTGAGCTTCTGGTTAGTCGTTTTTACTTTTCCAAATTTCTGTTGTAAGAAATCCTTTAAAAATTTTTTAATGTTAATTTATTTTTGAGAGAGAGGCAGACAGAGAGCGGGGCAGGGGCAGAGAGAGAGAGGGAGACACAGAATCTAAAGCAGGCTCCAGGCTCCGTGCTGTCAGCCCAGAGCCCGACGCGGGGCTCGAACCCACAAGCTGTGAGATCATGAACTGTTGTAGGCAATTTTTTTTTTTTTAATTTTTTTTTCAACGTTTATTTATTTTTGGGACAGAGAGAGACAGAGCATGAATGGGGGAGGGGCAGAGAGAGAGGGAGACACAGAATCGGAAACAGGCTCCAGGCTCTGAGCCATCAGCCCAGAGCCTGACGCGGGGCTCGAACTCAAGGACCGCGAGATCGTGACCTGGCTGAAGTCGGACGCTTAACCGACTGCGCCACCCAGGCGCCCTGTTGTAGGCAATTTTAAATTCATACGGTAGTATTGTGAGTCTCCCACATTCATGACCCAGCCATCTTGTTTCACCTATATCTCCACCTCACATGTCCCTCTCCGTGTTTCTTCCAGCAACTGGATTATTCCAAAGTTAAATTCAGGGAATCTATTTTAATTTTCAAAATCATCATATTTCTTGGGGAACCTGGGTGGCTCAGTTGGTTGAGAGTGTCCGACTCTTGATTTCGGCTCAGGTCATGATCCCAGGGTTCTGGGATCAAGCCCCATGTCGGGCTCTGTGCTGAGCATGGAGCCTGCTTAAGATTCTCCCTCTCTGTCTGTCTGTCTGTTTGCCTCTCCCTCTGCCCCTCTCCCCTGCTTGTGCACACACGTTCTCTCTGTCTCTCATAAAAACCAAATAAATCAATATAATTTTATTTCTTTTTGAAGAGGTAATATTGACACGACTCAAATTCCAAAAGTATAAAGGGTTAAAAGAGAAACGCCCCTCCCTCCCTCCTCACCTCTGCTCCTCCATGTGGTAGATTAAAACTGATGTCCACTGTACTCGAAGACATGGAGTTTGTTTCTCCCCCTTGAATTTGGGCTTGGTTGTGTGAGGTGCTTTGGCCAAAGGGACTTCAGCAAACATCATGCAAGTAAAGGCTGGAAAGTGTTTGCAATGGGTTGCTCTCTTTCTTCTGGGGGTTCGGGCATTGCCATGTGAAGCCTCCCCAGCCACTACCAGTCAAAACCACAGGAATGCAACCTGGAATAAAATGGTTGTTTTAAGCTACTAAGTTTGGGCTGGGTCGGTATACAGCACAGGTCAACTGATACCTTCCCAGCTCCCACACCCACCCAGTGCGCTCCTGCCCAGGGGAATACAATATCACCGGCTTGTGAATCTTTCCAAAGACAGTCTCTGTGGAAATATATATTCTCCTCCCTTCCCCTCTTGTCCCTTTTTAAACAAACGATAACACGCGGTTCCTAACCTAGTTGTAGCTGTTTGACATAACAAGGTATTCGGGAGATCGTTCCCTACCAGTGTACGAGAAGCTTTCTTCAGAGTGTGCCATCGGATGCACAGACCATAAATTATTTAATCAGGCCTTTATTGATAGCGTTTAGATTGTTTCCAGACTTCGGCCGTTTCCAGCAACGCTCGCAACGAACAACCTCGCAGTCCATCATCAGCACGCCTGTGAGCATTTCTGCAGGAGGACTTCCTGGCTGCGGCTTGCAGGGTGTAATTGCGACGGGCCTGCTCGTGGAGTATAACCTGTGGGGAAGGACTTGCTTTCTGTTCCTCGGGCCTCCCCTCTTCTCTCGGGCACAGTTGTCCAGCTGCAGATTCCCAGTGTCCCTACTTGTTCCTCTTGCTGACAAGGGCAACGCGGCCAGTTCCTGCTCACCCGGACCTCTCCCACCCCAGGATGGGACCAGGCGAGGACTGGGGGTGCTCTGACCGCCCCCCCCCCACCCCCGCTCCATTCCAGGCCCTAGAATGTGAAAACGCTGATGCGTGGAGCTGCTGAGAACTATGCACAACTATGATTCTGTGGACAGTTCAGATAAGTTATCATTTACTGACAGACACTAACCAGTCCAACAAAGGCAAGAGTCTCGGTGCAAACAAACAAGCGTCTGGAGCAGCAGGACAAAGGAGCCTGTGTGTAACGAATTCCAATGAAATATCCCATTCCCCACTTCACCCCCAGGCCATTAACACCAAGGAGCACTCAACCTCACGAAGCTAAACAAACCAGAGTTGCGGTCACCAGGAAGTGTCCTTGGTGACTGTGGAATAGGAGTTGGCACCAACCGCTGGTACCGTGCCTGGCGGCTCAGGAGCCAAGGGCACACGCCCGCTCCCTGGTGCCCAGCCGTCTTCCTCCCTTTCCTTTCACTCATCCCAAGGCCGGCTTCTCAGAAGACGGGGCTGGGCTGGATCTCCCTGCCCCTGGGAGGAAGCACGTTCTGGAGGAGACTGGAGCCCCACTGTGACCTTGCTGCCCTTTGCCGGGATCCCCATGAGGACTGAAGTGGGGGGGGGTGGCTGGCTTTTACTGTCACTCTCCTCCCTTCTCTCCTGTTTGGCAGAACTCAGCATCTGCTCTGTTCCTTGTCAATACTTGGTAAACCTTCCCTTTCCTTCCTGCTTCTGCGCCTCGTGGCTGCGTTTGCAGACCTCTGTGGCTGCTCCGGATTTGGCAGGTGACGGCAGCGTTCAGTCTCCAAGGTGCCCGGCCCTCCTCTGCCTGGGTGTGGAGGGGATCCAGGGCTCAGAACTCCCGGAGCGGGGAGACAGTTCTGTCCACACCTGATAAGACTGACGCCGAGGTGAGGTCAGAGCCTGGTGAGGAGCCAGCCGGGAACTGGGACAGATAACCTGTGGATGCTCCGAATCCTTGGTGGCCTCAGGAAGGAAAATACCTGCATGAACAAAACAGCAAACTCTAGGGCAGGGGGAGAAAGGAACAGGGGTGGGAACAAAGCCTACGAAAAAGGACCTGTGATATAGCCTTAGGGGGTCTCAGCTGGGGGGTCTCCTAGCGGCCTTCATCTGCCCACACTCACAGCCTTTATCTCCAAAACTGCACAATATCTCCAAAGCTGGAGAATTGTGTCTCACCTCCAGTATCTCGGATGCTTGAGTCATTGGAAGTTGCTCATTGCCATGGTTTTATTGTATTTTTCTAAAGTTTATTTTTTAGAGAGTGAGAGAGAGAGAGAGAGAGAGAGAGCATGAGTAGGAGGCAGGGGCGGTGGGCAGAGACAGAAAGGGATAGAGAAAATCCCAAACAGACTCTATGCTCTGTGCAGAGCCCAACATGAGGCTCGATATCATGATCTGTGAGATCGTGACCTGAGCCAAAATCAAGAGTGGACACTTATTCGACTGAGCCACCCAGGCGCCCTACCATGCATTGGTTTTATTTACTCCCTGCCTAGGTCCCTCACTCCTGAAGAGGGTGGGCAGGGTTTCTCTAAATCTTCCTGCTTAAAATAGATCTTTAATAAATACTTGTTAGTTCATGGTTTAAAAAAAAAAATCACGACTCTGCTTTTTGGGTGGAATTTAGTTTGGACAATAGTAAATGATTACTACTGATTGAACAACACTGTACTTGTGTTACCTAGTTGAATTTCTCTGCAGGGGAGGTACTGCCTCCGCTTGGTGGGGAGAAGATGAAGCCTCCGTGAGGCTTGCCTAAGCTCACACAACTTGCAAGAGGTCGGGCTGGGGTTTGAACCCTTGGGTCTGAAACTCCAAGTTCAGCCTCCTTTCCCTCAGCACCCAAGTGTTGCTTTCGAGTTGAGGAAAAAAGCAGTGAGGTCAGAAGCAAAACACTGCTGGGACCAAAACTTCCTCTCCTCCTGCTCATGTTGGTTGTGGGCTTGTGATCACCCCTGCACCAGGACCGTCTCTGGGCACCGTGTGGAGGGCAGGCACCGACAGACTACCGAGAGCAAATACAGAGCAAGGAACGGTTGGCATTTGGTTTTGCACATATCAGCCTCTCCCAGAGGCTGACTCGTAGGGGGCATGAGTGAGCCCAACCCTCTTCCTACTCCCCTCACATCAACTACAGCTGGTCCTGGGTTAGTGAAAGGGAAGCTCACACAAATGTTGGCTTAACATTTCTAAGGCTACATAAATGGCACTTAACTGATAATAAAAATAATAAAGCATCAGATTCTTTCCCTTTATCCTAGACCCAAATGCCTTCCAGACTGTGTGGCTGTGGGCAATTTGGGTAAGTTGTATAACCTCCCTGAGGCTCATCTCTTCACTTTTAAAACAGGATAATAACTGTAATGTGCTATAAAATCCAGTGTCTTGCACAGTGTTTGGCACATAAAAGGGTCTCAATAAATGTCTGATGTTTGAATGAATGAAATATAGGGATATTCTACTTATTTTGCATCTTCTGCAGCACCTGGCATATTCTGGACTTGTGCGTGATTCATGAATATTTTGAGGTTGTCTTTATAGTTAAGAATGAGGATATGTCCCATTAAAAAAAAAACAAAAACAGCTCCACTTAAACACAGAGGAACTCTTGTTAAGAGAGCCTGTGATTTGCTGCAGGACCCATGGGGTGTTGTGGTATTGGAATTAATAATAAAGATTTGTTAATTCCCTGCTCTTGCCCCGGCTGCCTTCCAAGAGGTGATGTGGAATCCTGCTGTTTCTGCTCCAGATAAATCAATGATAATCTTCAACCCAGTGAGGGGCAAGTCATGGGGATGTACTCCCATGTCAATGACACTGCTAAAAGCAGATTTCTTGGAAGTCATTTGCAAGAGGCTTTGAATTTGCCAGATTGCTTGCTGAGCCTATAATACTGCACACATGTGGTGACCTTGACTTGGCTATTTCCATGAATCCTCTTTCCCCTTAAGCCATGGCCGACAATTCGAAGTCACACGGCAGGGATCTCTATCTTTCCAGTAATGATCATTGTTCAGGTCCAGCCCATTCTCTGTGCACCGCTCATCTCCTGGCGTCGATTCTGCTCTGATGGGACCTGAGGGGAGGGGAAGGGAGGTGGGCTGCATGTGGCCTTCTCTTCCCTTTTTGGTTCCTTTGATGGGGCAACTTTTGAGTAGGAGAACCTTTTCTCCCTCCTTTTCTGTCCACTCATCTATTTGTTTATTCACCCACTGTCCAATGGGAAGCACTATGGGGGCTATGAGGGTACATAGAAAAGGCGTGAGGTGTGGACTTGGCCCTTGAATAGCTGAACACAAGCAGAAAACCAGCCATGAGCTTGACTAGTGCTACCACCCCAAACATCGGCAGTGATTACCTCCAGGTGGCAGATTTAAGAGTGGTTTTAATTTCTTCATTGTGGGTATCTGCATTTCTGATTTTTCCTTCAAAAAACATATATTGCCATGTGTACAATAAAAGTCATTCAAAGGGTGAGTATATGGTGAACGGGTGCTAAGTGCACAGGGAGGTGCAGATGGAAATGCCAGGAGAATAGAGAGAAGGACAGTGTTATTACCCCTCCAGGTGGATTGAAGAGACTTTTGGAGAAGGTCATCATTGAGTTGAGCCTTGAAGTTGGAGGGACGTCCGTTGGATGATCTGCCTTGCACCTCCTCTCGTGTGACTCCCAGTTCTGTGGCCCAGTGCTGAGAGCTGCCTGGTTCTCAGATGGCCTTGCCCTTATCAACTTTACCATGTTGCTCCTTAAGAAAGACCCTTGTCTGAAAGCTTGGAAGGACCCCTCTTGGGAGAAAGCGGGAAAGTTAGAGGTACAAACTTCAGAGGTGAGGGTTAGTGGCCGTCCCCTCTCTCCTTCAGTAACGAAGGACAGGCAGCTAGAAGCCTGGCCTCAGATGAGTTCAGCCTTGTCACATCTGACAACCGGCACACTCCAGTCATTTCAATTCCTCACTCTCTATCCTCTGCCACTCCCTGGCTTCAACACCTCGTCTGCCTACGAAGAATGTCCGGAGAATAGTCACTGCCACACAGTTCAGGTGTTTCTCCTCAGGGGGTTTCCTGCCCCTAAAACACACACTCGGCCCAAATCCACCAGCCTGACCGTGGCTCTCTGGCTGAGATAGCAAGGTAGGTAGAGGCAGCAAGACCACGTGGGCTGTCTCCGTTTCATATTCACCCAGTTACCTTAGCAACAGGAAACAAGAGGAGGAACAGCACCAACTACCAGGACCTCCATTCATCGAGAGACAGAGTGAATGGGGGAAGCACTGGCCTGCAAGTCCAGAGGCTAGGGCTTCTGCCTGGGCTCGGCGCCACTGGCTACCTGCTTCCCACCAGTCGCCTCCCCACTGGTGTATTCTAGACGGAATGGGAACAAGGGCTGCCTGGATGGGTTAGGGATAATGTCAAGGAGCATAGTCCTCCAGGGAGAAGGCCCTACTATTTCTGTTTCCGGTGGTTTCAGGCATAGGAATTGCATCAGGGGGCAACTATATGTCAGCTAGTCTTCTGTGACTTAATTTGCCATTCGCCACCTGTGATGCAGAAACGTTTGCTGACCAATGAGACGATTGAGCTCCGAGGAGGCTGGCCCTTGGCAGCACCTGGACTACCAAGATGGATATTTCTTTATCTGGGGTGGGAGGTAATTCCGACTTTGATTCTTGAGCATGAGCATGTAGAAAGGAAATCGAAGA